CTCCTACCAACCCATTGACCTCACCTTTCATCTCCTGTGACCAGCACGCCTTAAACTTAAGTATTAACAAAGTGACTCTTATATTCCTTTAATAATCCAATTTCTCTCATACGAATGAACATTTTTATAACGGACTTTTGTGCGTGTGAATCAAGAAAAATTGTACTATTCATTGATGTTGTATTTTAATACAAATTGTTTTGATACACCCTTCTCTTTCGTATGTTATTTTGTTTATGTATGGTGACCTCAAATTGATTGCTTGTTGAACCTTTAGGCCAAACTAGCGGCTGTCCCGAAGGACTGCTACTACTACCTACCTTCTGATAAAGCAACAAGTAACAATGAATCCACTCCCCTCCAACACCATAGTGTCATGACGCCATTTCTAACCTTAGGTCCCTGGGCGGGACCCGGAAAGAAATGTGTAAACGCCAGAAATCAAAGAAAATAAAAATAATAATAATAGTAATAACAATAAGTCCTGATCATCATCTTCTTTATGTGCTATGTCCTTTCAAGCTCTTAATAAACTATGTCTTTCTGATATTTCTCTTATATCCATTTACTCAAGCTCACTCAGAAAATTATAGTTTGTTTTTCTCTGTCTGTCTTGCCTTCAATCTGTCCCGTTGGGTACACGATTTCCCAATCATTCTTCCGTCATTATATACCCTAGAAATTTCAACTGTCTCTTCCTAATGTTAAGTATGCCTCTATTTTGTTTCTATTTCTCGAAAACATCGTCGTTGCTCACATCCTTCTGTAGAACCACATGTCTTTTACCTTCCTGTCTATTCTTCATCACATAACCACGTAAGAGGCCAGTAGTCATTTATTTTTTCTAACTGGGTTTTCCTGTTTCTTAATACTTTGCTTAGCTTTTGAAATGCATCTTTGGCTATCCCAAAATGCCTTCGGATTTCAATATCGTACTTTGCTTTCTCTGTTAAAATACTTACCAGACATTTAAAGTTCTGTACTTATTTGATTTTGATATTTCTAATTCGCAATTTGCATTTTGGTATCATCCTCTTGCTTAACAACCACGTATTCTGTCTTCTTGAAGTGATGTTTTAAAATTATGCACGTACTTCTGGGATTATGGCAAAAATAAAATAAAAAATTAACTCCCTAGATATATATATATATATATATATATATATATATATATATATATATATATATATATATATATATGTGGCCTGACGATTGAGTATAGCATCAAACAGACTGTCGCCTCTAAGTGTTGACTTCTATGTTCACTTTTATATTTACACACGCTCTATCTCTGGTATTGAGCACTTTATACCATAAATATACCCACATCTTAAGACTATATTTCCTCATATATATATATATATATATATATATATATATATATATATATATATATATATATTTTATGCATTAGACATCGGTCGACATTCATTCTCTTCTCTCATCTAAAACCCTCCCCACCACCTCTCCTAAAATTCTCTCTGTTAAGGTTCAATCTTCCCCCTCCTCATATTTACACTTTCTCTAAATTCTGTTTTCACTTCCGGAGTGGTTTTTACTGTTTTCATTTTGAATTTGTAGGTCTGATGAATTGGATCGGATTTACGATTCCAGTGGAAAAAATTATGACCATGGAATATTAGTGTTTAAGCCTTTTTATTATATCCTTACTCTGACCTAGACATTGAGTTCTACCTGGATTCTTCCTCTTGGAATTTTTTTCTGAAAATATACATGTATGGGTATTTATATATTTTGCATACGTATGTATATTTTCCACTAATATTATCAATCTTAATATATATATATATATATATATATATATATATATATATATATATATATATATCCCAGTAAAGAAAATATATTTAAATTGTCTTGGATATGTTCAAGGATAGAACATTTGGAGGTCACTCATCTCACACAAAGATAATTAACTTTCGTGTTTTTATTTGGATTACACCAAAGAATTAAAATATTTCTCAGAAGGCAATGTACTAAAGAAAGAACAACTACCGCCAGACTATAAAGCAGGTGCGAATAGTTTGAGGGGGCAATGAAGCTGGCAAAACATTTTAGGATTATAATTACATTGCGAAAGAGGCAGCTGCTCCATGAATCAGGAATCGCTCCAAGAATTGTTTGTAAAGATCATCTTCGCACAATAAGAGCGGCGTTGAAGTGAAAATCTCTCCTTGTCGCGGAAATTTATGTATTTGCATATAGGGAAGCTCTATGAACAAACGATCGTAAATTTAATGGCTTCGTTTGAACGTAGAGTGTTTACATATTTTACACAGAATTCTTGCAGAAAAGTGATGGACTTGTTAAGGAGAAATATTTTAAAGGTAAGTGATTGTGATGATAATTATAATAATGCTTAATATTTTTTTCACAATTGCTCTTCGCCCTGTTCTTTCTTTGCAAAGGAGATGGATTGAAATAGACAGACGGTGTAATATACGCAATAGAATTGTACTACCGCTATATAAAACTTAAGTTAATATCCTTTAATTATGATTTCGGAGCAAAAGCAAGCGTATATGCAAGGTGTATTGAAATAGCAAAAGACAGTTTCCAGGACTAAGAAACGTAATAAGAAATTTAAAAAAAATATCGCTTCAAGCTAAGAAATTATGCTGAAATGTTATGTAATATTACTCAGTTATGTGCCATATCATGTGATACCCGTCTAGGCGATCATGTATCTTTCGATACATGACTGACGAGACAGTTTTTTTTCCAGCAGTAGGTTGGTATTTCTTTCTGCGGTAGTTGCAATCCAAGGCTATAGAACCCGGTCTTTTCTGCTATTTACCCATAGCTGGTGGGGAAGAAGAGGATTCATACCTTTCCTAAGAGTATTAGTGTTTGGGCTACCCACCTTCTGATGAGAATGGACTGATCTCTCCACGATATAGGTCAATGCTAGAGAGATCAGGGGAGATCTAAGAGATCAGGTGACCATCTCACTTCCGTCTCTCGACCGGAAGTTACCGTTGGACTGTAGACTCTTGCTAATTGTTATTACTAACCTGCGTTCGTTATTACTAATCACTCTGTTGTTAAATACCTCTTCAAATATACCAGTATTTTTTCCCTACATCTGTGTTTGTTTTTATTTGAATACACACACGCGGGAACACTCCCAATATCTCAACAATTAGCACGACTGGATTTCGAACCCGGCTCTTCGATTACTCGATCCGAGCCGCTATCCATTACTCCACCATTCCTCCTACGTAATATATTAATCCTGAATGGCGGTGAATGTTAGATAATTTATTCGCAGGTGAATAGGGGACTTAGAAGTAACAGAGATGTTGTCGTAGAGAAAGAAGCTGAAAATATTAAAGACGACGAAATATTAAGATAAATGAAACCGAAAATACCTAAAGATTGTTTGTCGGTTTTTGTTTAGCGGCATATCAAACTCTATGCCTCAATCCAATGGCAAAATCTAAATACTTCTTAAGCAAATTTTTTATCTTATCTCATTTCAGATGGTAATAGTTTTACTGGTACATGACTTAATAGTTAACCATGTAGATAAAAAAATGTGAAGGGAAGCAACATTATGGCGGTGAGAAAGTGACTGAATTACAATATGTTGATATCAATTGATACGGAGGAGTTGCAACAGTCAAATTAAAAAAAGAACGAACAATAAATCTATTCGCTTAGATTCTTAAATTTAACGATAGATCAAGCCTTGTTTCATTGCTGATTGGTAGGGAGAATTATATGTGATAGGCAACAACAGAAGAACCCAAATTTAATCTGCTTTTAAGTAGTGCATTAATATTTAAACTCATCTTTTAAAAGTTCAACGATAATTCTTTTTCCGCCACTTAATTTAAAGACAATTTGATGTACGTAGGTCGTTACTTTCCATACAAACAATTATTTTTATTTCATGGGTGATTTTCGCTGGATTTCGAAATTAACTTTGAGTATTCCCAAATTTATTTACCAGTTATAAAAAAAAAAAACTTTTATCGTACAAAAAATTAATCGCAAAAATCACGTAAAAAATGTCCGAAAATAATTGTACTAAGGACAACTCCGGAATCCAAAATATCAGGTTTGCGGGTTCGGATACGGCTCGGAATCTTTTTTTTTTTCTTCATTTGCTCACGTAGTCAACCTCATTCCAAAATAGTATGCTATTTTGGGCTACTACCTGTAGGAATAAAGTTGAAATTTTTATTTTGAAGCTGGTTAAAAAGGTTATTTATAATTTTGTTCGTCCGTTTCTAGTCTGAGGTTTCCTGTAAGGCTTTTAACTTAATTTCCATTTACTGTTATTTGTATACAAAATCTCTCATTCTTTTTCTGATATATAACCAATTGTGACATGCCATGTACACAAGCGTGAACCATCTCTATTTCCTTTCTATTCGTAAAGTAAGCAGTTCCGTTCCAGCGGCTTAACAGTCAATGGCTTATAAATCTTTTTTTGTAGGTGAATGACCTTTTTATATGAAGTGTCTCGTCAGGAACTCTTAAATCATTATTCACTACGACGCATTTTTAATCATGTTACCCCAAGGAAGGAAATAAAGTCACTAAAACCCACAGCGTCACTGAGTGTGAAGGAACATGAAAAACGAAAATAACTATTAAGGTAAGATAACAAAAAAAGAACGGAAATCAAGAAGACCAATGATAACGATTGATAATGAATTTAATTTTTTGAAGATCAATATTGACTAGAAAACAAGAGGCTGGAACAGTGTTCCACCAGCGAGGATTACAAGAGAAGAATCTGCTAGCTTACGGTTACATCTAGCAATTTCAAATATAAAAGGATGAGACCAAGCTGCCAATCTAGTACTGCGCTTACATTCATAAAGTTGAGGTACCAAGAGTGAAATTAGATCAGACTAATTACAATGAAAAATATTCATAGATAAAAGGTAAAGGGAAGCAGTCTATTTTGATCGTGATGTAGCCCTGTGTCCGTTATTTGGCAATTTAATGTCGAATATAACTTTTAT